ATTATCTCGCTTTTTAAGCCACATACTAGTTGATCCCGCAAATTTTCGTCTAGATTTGAAGTAAATTCACAATTTTTTGATAGCTTTTTCAACTCCGTTACGTAGTCTGCTATAGTTTCGTTGTGCAGTTGTCGACGTTGACGAAACTTATATCTCTCCGCTAATACCGAAGGTTTAGGTTGTAGATGGGCGGAAAGTAATTCTACCGCTCTGTTATATGATAAATTTGATGGTTTTAACGGGCTTGCTAAAGAGGATAAGAGTTCGTAAGCGTCTTCCCCCATTACCGCAATTAATGTAGGTAGCTTGTGTTCGTCCGACACTTTATTCACTATGAAAAACATTTCCATTCTTTCTACATAATTCGTCCAATTTCCCGATTTCGTATCGAATTCACGCACTTGACCAACCGACATTTTGATAATTCAATAATTAAATCACTGATTTTATTCCTCGTTCGCCACTGTTAAATAAAAGACGTGCGCTCGGTGCAATGGTTTATTGCGAGACTGTTTGCTGCCTACGACACACACACATACATGACAGAAATCAATAGTGATTCCATTTCACAAACGCGTTCGACCCCTGCTGCAAGCATTCGACGGAAATCATCGAAATTCAGCCAAAAGTGACGGCACCTAGAGATCGCTCGCTGCTCTTGTTAATACGGATTTTTGTCAGGCTTAAAACTAACACTATATCTATAATAATAATAATAATAATAATAATAATGTTTATTGACATTATACTTTTTACAATTTATGTTTGATTCCCCTGTATTCCAAAATAGGCCTTAGCCTGTAGTATGGAATCCAGTGTCCTCTCCAATTATGTACTTACAATATAATCTTAGCAGTTGTACTGGGCATAACAAAACATTACTATTTTTCTTCACAGTAAAGATAAATAGAAAAAATAACTAAATTATATGTGTGTGTATAGTGAGTGTGGGTGTAGGTGTGCTTGCGTATGTGTATGTGTGCGTGTGTGTATGTGTGCGTGTGTGTGTGTGTGTGTGTGTGTATGTGTGTGTGTGTGTGTGTATGTGTGTGTGTGTGTGTGCCTGGGTGTTGCGTGTGTATGTAAATGCGTCTTGTCTTAAACCACATAAATATCAAGTAATAATTTATAAACACTGTGCTATACTTCCTATATCCGGGTGTTGTCAATCAGTAGATCCTCCACACCATCATAATCTATGTCGAACAGCCAGTCATTAATAAACTTTTTTAAGCTAAAATTACTACACTTTTTTATCTTTTTAATGTTATTTAATTTGTTGTAAAGTCGTGGTGCCATATATGTATAATGACGACGTGCAAATTGACTTTTGACTGAGGGGATATGACAGCGATCCCTCCTAGTAAGATCATTAGGTAGCTGTGGGATAACATAACGGTGGTATCTGCGAATACTTTCAAAAATATAAAGTTTTCTTACAGAAAGTACCTTGAATAATTTGTAAATGTCTGTTGTAGGATGTCTGTAAGGGAGAAACATGACTACTTTTAAAATTGATCGTTGTGCTCGTTCTGCCATAATTAGGTGAGTTTTTGCTGCACCACCCCACACTGGTATGCAATATCTAATTATACTCTCACACAAGGCTTGATAAATTTGTTTTAGGAGCTGCAGATTGGCAACATTCCTAAGATTTTTAAATACGTAAATAAGTTTTCTTATCCTTAGTTGTAGTAATTTAATATGATCTAACCAACTCAATTTGTCGTCAATAACTACTCCCAAGTACTTAATATTGTTAACTTTAGACAGGTAAAGACATTTACAATTCCCTCCTTCACCTCTGTTACATGGATAAGTATGAATTCTTAGTTTATGGTCATTGTTAGGGCTTCCGACAGCAGTTTTACTAAAACACATATATTTGGTTTTTGTTATGTTTATTGATAAAATACTGTCCTCAAGCCATTTCGTGACTTGTTTTAGTCCCTTTTCAGCTGATTCAGTGACTGTTTGCCAACTAGAATTATGAAACATGAGGACAGTATCATCAGCAAACATACTCATGGTGCCGTTCTCAAAGTTGATTTTGCCCAGATCATTGATATAGACCAGGAATAAGGTTGGTCCTAAAGTACTACCTTGCGGCACTCCATAAATACAGTTGGAAAAGTCACTGAGGTACTTGCCCATGCGAACCAACTGTCTTCTGCCTGTCAAGTAACTTTCGAACCATTTCAATGCTACTCCTCTTATTCCGACACCTTCTAACTTAGATAACAGTATAGGAATGGAGACAGTATCGAATGCTTTCTGAAGATCTAGGAAAACACTTATACATTTTTCGCCCTTATCCGTCTGAGATGTTATCCATGACGTCAGCTTAAGGACAGCGTCTTCAGTGGATCTATTTTTACGAAAACCGAATTGTTCATCAACAAGGAATCTGTATTTTTCTAAAAAAAATATGAGTCGCTTGTTCATAACCTTTTCTAAGACTTTACTTAGTACCGAGAGTATGGAAATAGGCCGATAGTTCGTTGCTTGATCTTTAGCTCCTGCTTTATGAATTGGACTGACTAAAGCTTTTTTAAATATTGTGGGAAAGTCACCACTTTCAAGGCTTAGATTGCATAAATAGGCAATGGGTGTTGTTAAATATTTACCAAAGTACTTAATTATTTTCGTAGGTATATTGTCCCATCCAGGAGAACTATCTTGTTTAAGACTTAGTATAATTTCTTTTATCTCAACTGGATCAGTGGGAGCAGCAGAGAAAGAATTAACGAGAGTATTGTCTTTTTTGGCAGTTTTAGCTAAGTCAGTGTCTGTTGTTTTTATTTTATTCAGTGTCTCATTAGCTAAGTCTTGACCAACCGAGGTAAAATATTCATTAACTTTGTTTAGAGCAGCAACAGGATATTTATCTAATCTAAGAAGCTCATCAGCACAGTTTTTCACTTCGGTTATATTACCAACTTCCTTTATAATTTTCCATATGTTTTTTGGGTTACCTTTATTTTTAAGAAGCTGTTCTTGGTAATATTTATATTTTAAGTTTTTAATGATTTTATTGCAAATATTTCTATACGATATGTACTCATTTTTCACTAGAATATCATGGGGATGTTTTTTAAATTTCTTGTGCAATAAATTTCTTCGTTTAATAGACTTAACTACTGAAATAGTTATCCAAGGTTTTAAAGGTTGATATTTTGTAGGTATTGTTTTTATAATTGTATTATCGTTAAGTAGTTTGATTAGATTATTCGTTAATAGTTCGGCAGCCAATTGCACGTCCCGTATTTTGTAAAACTCTCTCCATGTTTCGTTTTTTAAATGGTTTTCGATATTATCTAGGTCTGTAATTTTTTTATTTACTCTAATAGGTTTCTTTTTAGTGATAGCTTTATTTATACATAACAGAATGGGTGAGTGGTCAGTTAATTCTTCAAATACTACCGTTTGCCAATCTACAGGACACCGAACCATAAAGTGATCTATACATGATTTGTCTCTTGTAGGAATATTAACCCCTTGTTCCAATCCATGCATAGCCATAACGTTTAAGTAATCATTCACAGATTCTTTACCATTTCCCGGGAGGATATCTATATTAATATCTCCAGTAAATATTAAAGTGGGACTTTTTATGGATTGCAGAATATTGTCGATCGAATTAAGGAATGGAGTTACATTGCTAAAGGAAGGGGATCTGTAACAACATACAATACATATGTTATCTGGTAAAGTTACGATAAGACAATTAGCGTGCACTATATCTTTTGGTTCGTAGCAAGTGGTTTTAATTGACTCTCGAATATATACCACAATACCATCATTTTGATTAATGGAATTTCTGGTCGCGTAGTATTTATAACCCTGAACCGCAGTAGGCCTAAAGTTATCATTTGTCCAACATTCTGAGAGCACCATTACATCAACATTAATTCTTGTAGTTGCTAGGAATGCTAAAAACATGTCGAGGTTTTTGTTTATACTTCTAACATTGAATGAAACCACACTTAGATAGCCACATCTCTTCTCCTTATTTAACAACTGTGCACAGTTAGCTGAGTCATCCAAAGCTATACATTTTGGAGGGCTGAGTCGGTCAAGTTGGTCAATAATATATTTGCTACCTATGAAATCGAATGTTATTGGTAAGGTGAACTGGTCCTATCTTCAGAAGCTTTTCTCTGCGTTTTGTATGTTTTTACGTACAAAACACAAAGATAAAATAATGCAAACCTGATGCACCATAAAGACTGCAATAATAAATTTTCATTCTTGGTAATTGAATTATAATATTTTACCAAGTTCCCATATTTGAGCAATATAATATGAAGGTTGGAGTTTTTAGAACAAGTATTCATTAACGGTCCGTTTCGCATATATTCGATGGCAAGCAAAAGTAATGTTATTATTATCTTATTTTGAGTATCAGCTATTTGATTGACCGAATATATATAAATGAAAAGTATTTGAGGCTTGACAATATTTGATAAAACATTTATTTGTGATAGATTTCGAGAATTTAAGGAGGAAAATAACCTTATCGGTATAATGTTTAATGTATAGGTGATTTTTTGGTAATATCTCTTTGGGTAACCAGATTTAGACTTTATTTGGAGTTTAAAAATTTTGGAAAAAATATGATTCAATGTTATTATTATACAGTATCGATTGATAATTAATGTTAATACTTCCAATTTGTATATAGTATCTGTTCTGTTTTTGATTGCACAAGATTGTTGCTTCATTTGTAAATAGTCAATGGTTTTTAATAAAGTGGCATTGTGTAGGAAATATGTATAATTTAGTTTCCTAATAAATAAAACATGTGTGGTATACAATATGTGTGAGGTGTTATTGTTATTATATAAGTGAGTTTTAAATATGTTTTTGAGTAGTTGAGGTGTTCTTTTTATATGTGTGTTATGGTACTGTTTACAAAATAGACAAATTTGAAATAATAAATAGAAAAAATACAAGAAATCATTATTTTCATGCATTGTGTTTTCGGTAGGATTACTTAGTCACTTTAACTTGTCCAGGTCATGATCGGAGTCTACACGTATGAGTTTGTCTCCCTCAGATTTACGTAAGTATATTCTTCCAAACGACGTCCAGCAGTAACGATAGCAATTATCTTTTGCAAACTTCCGTGCAGATGCAAAGAGTTTTCTTGTTTGTGGGGTCAGGCATTCGGAAATGAAAACTGGTGCCGGGGGGCCATCAATCTGCAGCTTGGTAGTATTAATTTTTTCTTTGTTTTCCCTATTAAATGTTTTAAGTGACTTAAGGATGTCTTCTTTCTTCATGACACTGTGGAATTCCACTATTATTGGTTTATAAAGCGTCTCTGACTTCGTATTGAGGCGGTAAACATCGCGTATTTCGTTTGACTGCACGGATACTTCAAGAACCTCACCCAAATGTTGCAAATGCATAATAAGGTCACTTTTGGTCTCTGCATCCTTCCTAGGGATGCCACGCAGCTCAATTCGTGAACAATTTTGTCCTCTTTCTATTATTTCGATTTTATTTTCCAAGATTTTTATGTACTTTAGACTATTGTCTCGTTCAATTTCCAATTTATTGATTCTTTGTAATATCTCGTCATAATTTTTGGACATAAGTTCAATAGATGTTTGTATATCTTTATTTTGAGCCTTTATATCATTTACTGTATTGAGGATTACGGCCATTTTTTTATCTTGTTCAGTTTTCCACGAAGTAAACATTTGCGTAATTTCCTCTCTAAGCTCCCTTATCCCTTCGTCGCTTCGTTTGCGCTTACGCACGGCTCCTTCCATTGTAGATGAGTCATTATCACTTGTCGCTACGCTGGTTATACTCGCGCTGCGACTAATGGTCGCTTTCGGCAAGGACTCGTGCGCGCTCGCTGTCTGTCGGGACGGGGACGCCCGCGGTGAGTGTCGCAGTGGCATGCTTACCGGTACCAGGCGCTTATGCACTTGCAAGAGTATATGCGCACGCACTTGCGTAGCTTGAACACTGGATGCGACGATGCAACAACACACACGGGAAAAACTTCTATCAGTTTATGCACTCCTAATATTTTATAAGAAATATTGAATTGATATTTTAATTTAATTTAATTTAATAAATACACCGGATAATTTTAAACACGTCTGCACAGTACAGAGGTCCGAGGGGAGAGGTTCTCTCTGATTATAGTATTTATTTTTTAAGCATGTAACTACTAGATATTTAAATCTAAAGAAAATATTACAAGAAAAATATCCACGCGAACCAGGCAGCAGACGCGACTCGAACCCGCAGCCTTAGCTATCCGGGCGAATGCACTGACCAATTATGCTACCGCGGCCCTGATGGTTGAGTCGAAATTTCTCCAGCCTTAGGCTACAAGGCTGCGCCATCTCTTCGCGTTGCAACACACAATGCCAAATAAATACTTTTACAAGTATTAAACATTTTAAAGAAGAAATAGCAATTATAGTTATACTAGCAAACCAGTGAACCGAATGTTCACCAAAACCTGATTTCTCGAAAACCGGAAGTGCTACGTTACTCAAATCCGGTTTGTAGTCTTATCAGACTATTCTTAACTTATAAATTAAATATTCTCTTTATCTATCTCTTACGGTTTGGCCGCTGAAACAGCACCACAGACAGACGGACGGACTTGTATAATAGATAAGAGATTATTTATTTTTTAATCATTCAACTGCTAGATATTTAAATATTAAGACAATATTACTAGAAAAAAATCCATGTGGACCAGGGCGAATGCACTGACCAAATATGCTACCGCGGCCCTGATAGCGAAGGATGCGGGTTTGAGTCTTGTCTGCTGCCTGGACCGCGTGGATTTTTTTCTAGTATTTTTTTCTTTAGACTATATCTGATGTTTAATCAATATATCGTTGTTTCGAAATTTTTGTTCGATTACATAATCAGATGAATGAGTACGCAAGGTTAAAGCATTACCGTTTTTCTCATTATTTCCATCGAGTTCTTATATGTAAATACCTTTATTATTTAATTTCTTGGGAGCTATAAGTCTTTTGTAGTGCACTTATTATCAAATATAATTTAACAAGACATAGTACTGTGATTAGACTATTACCAGCACCTAGCTAAAACACTGTAACTGTAAACATAGAGAGAAGCTGCGGCAGACCTGGCACATAATTTAGTGTCACCTATAAAAAATATGAATGTCGTACCTACTTCACATCAAATATTGATCTTTAGAACGTGAACGCTGTAGGGTAAGTATCAACGAACGTCAAATGTTGTCATGTAAAAATTAAATATAGATTCCAATCATGCATAGAATTTGTCTATTTAAAGTTTGATCTTAGAATTTTATACAAAACCGACTATTAATCGGATCAGGGAACCGCGTAATCGATGAAATTGAAATATAGCTTTCTACATGCTTCCATTCTTATAAAAAAAAAAAAAATTAATGACCTATCACCGCCTTTGTTATATAACAAAAATATTAAAATTATTATAATCAAATATTCTCCAATCTATTTACTCGTTGAAGCAGTTATTTTTACTTTGAGATTAATTTATCAAATGAAGTCGGTTCGACAATGAAACTTTAGAAGATGAAAATAGATGACGAAAGATTAACAGTCCAAATACAACCGCGATAGTTAATTATTGTAATATAAGTTATTAACGGGATTGTTACCATGTACCTAGCTTTAAGCGCGTTTCCGATATTTCGGCACTGTTGCAAGCGTCATGATCACAAAATCGGGATCAATATCAGAAACTCGCTAAAAACAAGGTGCATGGTAACAATCCCGTAAATAACTTATATTACTATAATATTAGTGACCATGAAAGTTTAAAACAATCTATAGTTAATTATTATCTCAGTTTAATATTATATCCTATACTTTCTGCAAACATTTATACAATAAGGTGATATATTGCAAATATGTTTGTATGTCAGCATCAGCAGCTTATTACTGTCCCTACAGCTGGGGCACAGGCTTTCCCTATGGATGGATTAGGAAGATTGGGCCGTGACCCACCACGCGGTTCCAGTGCAGATTCGTGAATGCAAACGGCAGATGCAGCCGGAAACACCAAATTGCTCGCGATAATGAGAGCCATTAAAAACATAACTTGTAAAAAAAACCAACTGTCGCAACTCAGTTCTGTTTATTCAGTCCCTACTTAAGGAACCTTCTGTCTTGAGTTATTACGAAAATAGCAACATCTTATACTGACCATATCAATATTAAAAATCTTGTATATTTTAAATAAATAAACTGACTTGGCAATCGCACTCAAAAATCTAATTTAATATAATACACTTCTGGACACATCTATTGGCCCACCTTAGAGTTTAGGTTTCGATGGCCCCTACCGAAATATGATTGCTAGATTGAACAAAAACTGTTGATGCAGTTTTAAACCTGATACATTTTACCATCGATCGTATTGTTTTAAATTTGAATTCAGAATACCATACACATGGAGCTACGCCTAACAAGTCGGATATGCGCCTTGTTAAAGACAATTGATTTTTGAATAAAAAACATGTTTTATCAAATAAAGGTTTAATTTAATAACGCGTGTTGCCTCCATGGGCATCTACCACAGCTCTCATACGATTAGGCATAGAGTTTATCAACCGCTCTATGAAATTTTGAGGGATCATCTCCCATTCCTCTTCTATGGCAGTTTTCAACTCCTGCATCGTCTGGGCAACTGGCTGACGAGCCCTAACACGTCTTTTTAGCTCGTCCCACATGTGCTCAATGGGGTTCATGTCTGGGCTTCTGACTGGCCAGTCCATAACTGTGATGTTCACATCCCGAAGATATTCCCTGACGATGCCGGCCGCTTGGGCTCTTGCATTATCATGCATAAAAAGGAAATTTGAGCCCACATAGTCCGCGTATGGTATCACGTGAGGTTCTAAGCACTCACGAATGTACCTTTCAGCATTTAATGTTGGCAGCCGTGGTCCTGTAACAACCTCAAGTTGAGTTTTGCCGCTCGCGGATATACCGCCCCAGACAGTCCATGAGCCACCGCCATAAGCAACCTCTGTCTTCAAAGCAGCATTGTGCGAAACGCTCTCCCTTACGTCGGTAGACCTTCTTCCTTCCATCATTGCCATGTAACACAATTTTAGACTCATCAGTAAAGAGTACACGGCTCCAATCTTGCTGTGTCCAATTTAAATGACTGCGTGCGAAATGAAGGCGCGCTGTTCGGTGGGCTCGCGTTAGTTTGGGCCTATTAGCTGGCTTGTGTGGTACCATATCGCGTTCTTTTAACCTTCTCCGAACAGTTCGAGCGCTCACAGATACTCCGTAGAAGTCGCGAATTTGTTTTTGTATCTCAATGGAGGTAAGGTGACGATTTCTCAAGCTGGTCGTCACGATGAATCGATCCTGCCTTTCAGTTGTGACCCGAGATCGTGGCCTTCCTTGGCGACGAACAAAGCGGCCAGTCTCTAGGTACTTCCGATAAACATTTCGGACCGCAGATCGACTTAAATTAAGTTGAGCACTCACCTTTCTTTGGCTGTGTCCGGCCTGAATAAGTGCCACAGCTTGGACGGCGACTTCAGGTGAAGTATCCATAGATTATTGATAGAACCTCACCTTAATGTTAAGAATAAGTAATGTTTGTTTGGCAAAACCAAAGATATCAATCACTTTTTCAAGAATTAAATCCAAGTAAACCAATAAAACCAAGTTTTCTTAGTATTCGATTGTTTGATATCAACAAACATGCTCCAAATTCTCTTTTGTTTCTTTAAATTCTGTGTTCGAAATTCAAAAAAAGACTATTGAATGAAATTGTGAATGTGCCAGGTTCAAAACTGCATAAAAACTTTTTGCTTGACCTAATATAAAATTTTAGCTAGGACCAAACGAAACTGAAAATACAAGGTGGGCCAATAGATGTCTCCAGAAGTGTATGTGAGATAGATTGTGTTTTCATGCGAGTTTATGCAATGCTTACTTGGTTACTGAAAATTCAGGCTTCTAGTTTTATCGCCAACGAGGTAATAGGGCGTTGGAAATGGCCTGAACTCTTTCGACAAAAGGATGGTACGGCCGTGCCGCTGTTTTTGCTCGACTTGGCGGGGTCACTGGCGTGCCCCTAGATTTGTCACTCATCCAATAACCGACCATTGTGTTGACTGCCACGTTCGCAGCCCAAATTCGCTAACCATCTGCGCCATTCGAGCTCCCTAAATGTTTGTTATTTACTTACATACTAGCTGTCCCAGCGAACTTCGTACCGCCATAAAATTTGGAGTTGGCGGTAGAAGGGTCAAAATTTACGGCTGTGTGTATTTTTTAATGCCACATGCTGAAAAGAATATTTACATACTAATATTTAAATTACAAAAGCTTAAAACTAATTAAAGTCTAAAAACTTATAGAGAATTAACTACTTAAATAATTATACAACTTACAAAATAAAAAATATATCACCCCCGCGCTGACGTCAGGAATGGTGCCCAACAGGCTGGCAGCATTTCCACGTTGGATAGCGAGGCTAACCCGTTGACCAAGGTTGTTGCCAGCCTTTAGATCACCAGTCACCTCGGTGAGTCTCTTATAGAATTCCTTAAACAGGAACGGGCGCTCGGACCCCACGGTCCCAAAGTCTCATCCATAGCCACATTTAAAAAAGAATACATAAAATAAATAAAAAAAATAAAGGGTGGACCCTTATCACTTAGAGGTATGAAAAATAAATAATAGCCGATTTTCAGACCTATTGCATACGCATATAAAAATTCATAAAAATCGGAGAAGTATGGTACCAGGCCACTCAGAATGTTTTGCGAAACAAAATTTTTATGATTATGACACTGGCCACTTGTAATTATTTTGAAAACTTCGAATGTTTAAAAGTAAAAATGGCACTGTTCGATTTTAAAATTTCCCTTAACATGTTTTCGAGAGCC